CACTTCACGGCAAGTAAAGCCTCGCCGTGGCGCGATCCATAATTTCCAAAAGCTCATCATACGCAGGGCAGGAGGACTGGGAAGGCTCAGCCTCAGCTTCTTTGCCCTCCTCAGCTATTTCCTGCTTTTGCTGGGCTGATCCCAGCAGAGCAATGGCCCCTGAGTCAGACAATGTTAATGAAATATCATCATCCTCCAGCGGCTCACTCTCGTGCAGTCGACGATCGCAAAAGGGAAACCCCCCTTCAAACTCATCGGCCAGCAATAACACACATATCACGATTACAAATAATAAAGACTTCATGGTTTTTACTTTGTTCTCCGAGAACTAGCAGTCCATAATTCTGTCAAAAATTAAATTTCCAAAAGTTTGTCAGAAAACGAAAACAAACACTTTTTTCTTTTTTTTTTTTAGTGGAGACAGGAATACAGCACTTCATCAGATTGTATGAAGATGAAAATTATGGCCAACTACACACAAATGAAGTTTTCCACCAAGACAAAATTTGAGGGTTTAATGTAAGAAATAGATCACTGCTGTACTATTATACTGTGATGTAAAATAGAAAATGCTGAAATAAATAATAATAATAACTAACAGTACTCAACAATATTTTTTTTTATTTTATAGCACACTAGTAATAACAACAGATTATTATTAGCATTATTATGTTGATTATTATATCTACATATAATATCTATATCTAGCAGCATGGTTATCATATCACAGTTTAAACTGCAATCGCAATATTCGGCAAAGTGACTGCAATAGAAAACAAACAAACAAAGCAACACATCGTGTTCACTTCCTTCAGTGCTGAAAGAGAATATGAGAACATACAGGCCTGTAATGTACAAAATACAAAATCAGCAGTTTAATGTAAAAATGACACTTGAATGTAGGTTAATAAAAAGACTGTGCAGCCTATTTCATACAAATGCAACCAGAAAGCAATACAACGAATATTCTGTATTTTAAAACGCAATAAATAAAAAATGCATTTCTGGTTCTGTGCATTGCACACATTTATCTAACATGAGAACACAGATATCTATTCACGTAGCAGTGGCTCACTGTAGACCGAATGTGTGTTTAACAGGGTCGTCTAATCGTGACAGACTACATAGTGAATCCCACATGAGGAAACACGACTACTACACTATACTAGACACTAGTGTTTTACTGTCTGGACTGATGCAGGTGTTTTGGTCAGTTTGTCCAGAGGAGAGTCGATCTCTCTTCATCGTGAGGAAGACCTCGTCGTCTCCTCTGCTGCTCCAGTCTCTGCAGGCCTTCCTCTCGCCCCAGTGCATGCTGGGAACCCGCTCTGTGAGCCTCCTCCATCGCTGTGATGTCTATCTGAGCGTATTTACTGGAGCTTTTGCCTGCAGACAGCAAACACAAGCGGCAGGGAGCGTTCGTGAGAACAAGCGTCAGGGAGAAAGTCTTGCCTGAGAGACGATTCAATTGGATTAAACTGATCAAAAGTGACAGTAAATACGTTTATAATGTGACGGAAGATTTTTTACTTGGAATAAATGCTGTTCTTTTGAACTTTCTGTTCATCTGTGAATCCTGAAAAATAAAATGTGTCACGGAATAACATTTCTGAAGATCATGTGACACTGAAGACTGGAGTAATGATGCTGAAAATACAGCTTTGATCACAGACATAAATTACACTTTAACAGATATTCACATAGAAAAGAGTTATTTAAATTGTAATAATATTTCACAATTTTACTGTTTTTACTGTATTTTTAATCAAATAAATGCAGCCTCGGCAAGCAGAAGAGACTTTTTTCAAAAATACTAAAAAATCTTACCAACCTCTTTTGTTAATATGAATTATCTAGTTACCACTGTGCATAAAAAGCATACAAATAATTTGAGATTAAGTACTGTGGTACTTTAGTTACAGTGGTAACTAAATAATATGAACAAATACATAAATATTTTAAATAATAATAAAATAAATAATGGCGAACAAAATAGACACACTAAATAGTGAAAACTGGCATGTCCAGATGTTTGTAACTGCATCAAATTGAGTTGCATATTTAATATTCTAAATATATATGCTTCAAAGTGGATGTAAAAAGTATTACATATTTATGCTTTAAAAGAGTGAAAGCTATTTTTGTCTGATGGATTGCATCTTGCATGTGACTTTGATTGACTTGTGTGTGCTTTCTCATTTAGCTGAACTTAAACTGAATAACCAATCATAGCTACTGTATGTATGATGCTGATCTATTTTAATATGTGACCCTGCAGCACAAAACCAGTCATAAGGGTTAATTTCTCGACATTGAGATTTATACATAACCTGAAAGCTGAATAAATAATCTTTCCATTGATGTATGGTTTGTTAGGATAGGATATTTGGCTGAGATACAACTATTAAAATCTGGAATCTGAGGGTGCAAAAAAATCGAAATATTGAGAAAATCATCTTTAAAGTTGTCCAAATGAGTTCTTTACTTAATATCCTAATGATTTTTGGCATAAAAGAAAAATGGATAATTTTGACACATACAATGTATTGTTGGTTATTGTTACAAATATACCCCAGCGACTCAAGACTGCTTTTGTGCTCCAGGGTCACATATATGATTATTATTATCATTAGTGGATTGTTGTGCACCTCTGACGGCGGCGCTGGACTCCTGCAGCTCCAGTTCCATGTAATGCAGCAGTTTTTTGGACGTGGGGCTGGTGGGGATATTCACGTATGTCACCGCATCTCCTCTGAGTCTGTCTGTCAGCGTTGAACCGGTCACACAAACACACACACACACACAACACGTGTCACACAGCTCAGAGAAATCACACAAACACACACAGATGTGAGATCACCTTCAGTCAGAGGAGGAGAAATCTTCTGCGAAGCCGTCAGGAGCTGGTACCTGCTGCGCTCCTCCTGACACAGAGACGGAGACGGTTATCCATGGAAAAACACACCTTAATTAGTGCGATTCCTGCTTAAAAACCCACATGTCCTCACCGGTGTAACGTGAGACCTGTCTGAACAGGTTCAGCAGGGTTTCACTGTAAGTGCTCTGGATTTCGAGACAAGCCTTTATGCGTTACAGATGCAGTTTTCACACGACTGACTCTCAATAGCGCATACTGTGTGTGGCCTTCAGCTGTATTTAGCTCCTCTATCTTGAAACCCTGCATGTGTTATTAAATGAGGGGAAAACATCCCAATTTTTTCATTGCATGCAAAAAGAAATTAAGAATGAGGTCATTTAATATAATATTTAATTATTTTTTTAATTTTTTCTAATGATGTCAGAGCAAATTAATCCTAAATAAGCTTTAAAAAAATTTTAAGCTGATTATATTTTGTGTGCAAATAACCACTAGGTAGAGCTGTTACTGCACTGTTTAGATAACTGCCCCAATGGCAATTACCCAAAGCTTTCGTAAATACAGATTCTGATCATTTAGGGCAGTGATAATGACAACATACGCCAAGTTTCATTTCAGTATGTTAAAGTTTTTTTATACATACATACGTTATATATAATTTTGAATTCGATTTTATTTTTATTCTTTTAGTTTTCATTTCAATTTGTTGAAACTGTCTCAAGAATCCAGCTGCTGTGTTGTCCAATTTTTTCATTGCATGCAAAAAGAAGAATGAGGTCATTTAATATAATATTTAATTATTTTTTTAATGCTAATAACTAATGATGTCAGAGCAAATTAATCCTAAATAAGCTTTAAAAAAATTTTAAGCTGATTATATTTTGTGTGCAAATAACCACTAGGTAGAGCTGTTACTGCACTGTTTAGATAACTGCCCCAATGGCAATTACCCAAAGCTTTCGTAAATACAGATTCTGATCATTTAGGGCAGTGATAATGACAACATACGCCAAGTTTCATTTCAGTATGTTAAAGTTTTTTTATACATACATACGTTATATATCATTTTGAATTCGATTTTATTTTTATTCTTTTAGTTTTCATTTCAATTTGTTGAACCTGTCTCAAGAATCCAGCTGCTGTGTTGTAGTGCTGTATTGTTTGCACACTTCTATCCTCTGTAATTCACACAGTCACCTCTGGGCTCCTGTCTGATGATCGGCTGTCCATGATTTCATAAGTTCTTCCTTTCTCTGCCCATATTCTCTCTCTGTTATCTGCACAAAGACAGAAACAAACACACGTTATCTGCACTGCATAACACTTATCAATTGAAAACGTATATTCTCCTATACCAGCTTACTAATCGTTTCTTCTGTGTAGTATATTTAATGTCTGATTTGCATGAAAAATGTGTCCCTGGAGCACAAAAGCAGTCTTAAGTCGCTGGGGTATATTTGTAGCAATAGCCAACAATACATCAATGGAACGCTTATTTATTCAGCTTTCGTATGATGTATTGATCTCAATTTCAAAAAATTGACCCTTATGACTGGTTTTGTGGTCCAGGGTCACAAATGACAAACTGTAGGTTTTGGTCAGAAAAAAGTGTCTAAAAACACAGTTTTGCAAAAAAAAAAATAAAAAAACACTTGGACGTAACCGTGCACCAAACTCGCTTTCAAGTCCTTGAGGATCTTCATCCATGCAAACCTTCTCAGAAACGGGACACAACAACACAGACGGGTTTGCAGGCAGAAGAAGAAAGGTAATATTAATTCGACTAGACAGAGACTCCTGGAGTGAGGAGGAGAAGACTGGAAGGGTCCCCAGAGGAGAGCTGGGTTAGAGACGCTCTCTTACCTTCTGCAGGTATGCGCTGCAGAGAGACTGTGGAGGAGCAGGAGGACTCTGAGATGTTCCTCCTCAGTTCCTGGACAAACGCGTCTCTGGATGGAGGAGTGGGTCTGAGGATCCGGCAGCTGTCCTCTCCTCTCCTGCACTGGACGCAGTTCTCGTACAGGACGGTGTGTCTGGATGCTGCCATCGCCTCGTAGACGCTGCTTCTCGCAGCAGGACTGTAGTGTGACAGGAGACAGTCGTAGATCTCCGATCGCTTCTCCTCATTGGTCTGCGAGCGTTCAGACGAGGGCCTCCGTGGATCGTGATTGGTCGAAGATGAGTGTCTGATCTCCACTGGCTCCTGATTGGCGGGTAGTTCGGTGACATCAGCAGTGGGCGTGGCTGAATGTTCACCTGGCACTTTAAGAGCGTGTCTGTACTTATTAGCTATATTAAAATGTGCAGTAAATTAGCTAATACATATGAGAGGTATATAGAAAATATTAAGAGTATATTTAAAAGTCCTTGCAGATAGTATAATATTAATGAATTAAAAGGCCACTTAAGTGACTTAAAGAGAGACACTTTAATGACCGTTTCTGAACACACTTAAGTAGACTTTTTAAAAAGTGACCTTTGAAATAATGTCAAATTAAGTTTTATTTTAAATCATTATGTTTTAATAATCTTTGTCATGTTTTAAAGAAGTACACTTATTTTGATGTGTTGACTAACATACTAAAGCACATGTAAAGTACTTAATTTTAATTTTAACTGTATTGTGTTATTTAATATTACATTTAAAGTTAATAGATTTTAAAGGGGTCATCGGATGCCCATTTATATATAATTAATGAAATAAAAGGCCACTTAAGTGACTTAAAGAGAGACACTTTCATGACCGTTTCTGAACACACTTAAGTACACTTTTAAAATGTTAAATCAAAAGATTTACTTTTAAGTACATTTTAAATCATCATGTTTTCATAATATTTTGTCACGTTTTAAAGAAGTACACGTATGTTGATGTGTTGAATAACATACTAAAGCACATGTATAGTACTTAATTTTCATTTTAACTGTACTGTGTTACTTGATTTACATTTATATTGCAATATTGGAAAATTTGCGAGTGTTTAATGCGAAAATTGCGAGTGTTTAATCGCAAACTGTTTTTAATACATGACAATAGAAGTGACATTAAGGTATATTTTAGTTGATCATAAATGCTTGTCAGCAGTACTTTAACCATATTTCAAAGAAGCAATTATGAAATTACATATAAAGATGTACTGAACTTAAGTGGGTCAAAAAAGCAAGCTGAAGTTCAGATAATTGCATTAAATATAAATTGAAACTGTAACTAATTTTAATTTAATTGCCATTAACATGCAATTAAGTGTTCAAAAAAAACATTGCATTCAGTTCACACATAAGTATATTATTTCTGTCATAAGTGCGCTTTTTATAAAGTATGCTAAAGTGCATGTCTTTTCCAGATAAGGACTCATGAAATGAACTTCTGAGCAGTGCATTATGGGTCATGCAGACTGAGGGAGGCTGTAAAGAGATATATTGGCTGTGTGAATCTCACCTGGCGCAGCGGGCAGTGAATGATGAAAAGAGCCCTGTTTAACAAACACACAGAGCACATCGATTAACAGCTACAGAACACCATCATCAATGCCACTAAACACAACACTGCTCTGGATGCAGCACATCAGGAGGTTCATGATCGTAGCTCAGTGTTTCCTCACAGCTCCAACAAAGAAATGCAAATGTGATTTTTTTTTGGAACAACTATAACTGCCATTTAAAAATCAATAATAATAAAAAAAAAGTAATAAAACAACTCCAGGTTCGCTCTGCTTGTTTGTAGGGCTATGCAATTTGGCCAACACTTTTCTGATGATAAATTAAATAATTTGTTCATTTTGATTATGTCATATTCATGGAATATAATTTTTTCAATGAAAATAACATGAAAGTTCACAGTAATATGCAGAACGATGAAAACGAGTATAATGCCTAATAAGAACCGTCCGTGGCAACATCTCCAAAGACACTTGGAGAAATCGACATGCAAAGCTACAGTACTGTGAAAAGATTTAGATTAAAACATATATCAAAAAACTTCTATTAGCTAATTCACTCTGAAACACACAGCACACTTATATAGATTATTATTATAAACTGCAGCCTTCATGACACGACTAATGCATTAAGCCATGTCGCAATAATGATTATTGTGATCATTGTTGTGGAAAAAATAAATAGAAAGTAGAAAGTAGTTATTTTAACATTATGGTTTTTATTACTTATTTATTAAAATTTGTAGCAATTTTGTTTGTTTTTTTGTCTTTTTTATTGTTGTTGTTTTTTTAAACATGTCTATACAGTTTTTATTATTTCAGTTTGTTATTTTAGTACATCAAGATAAACTTAATGAAAATTGTATATATAAATAGATTAAATTTTTTATTTTAGTTAATGTTTTAACCATTTTTAATGAATTTATTTAATTGAAAGATTTTATTCTAATATATCATGCAGCCCTAATCCATTTATTATTGTGTAAGAAGTAAAGAGAAAGCATATATTAAATTAGTTTTTTTATTCTGTTTTCATTTTAATTTTGTTTTAGTAATTTTGTTAGTTTTTTATACAATGTATTAGTTTTTTTTATTTATCTAGTTTTAGTGTTTTAGTTATTTTAGTACATCAAAGTAAATGAAATTAAAGTGAGAAATGTTGCCTTTGCAATTACCTGAAATTAGGTACATTTAATTATTTTATTTAAATTAATGTTTTTAATGAATAATAATTTGATTAACAATTTTATTGAATTTAACAATTTTATTTAAAGTAATGAAAATTTTTCAGTTAACCATAATTAACTATAATAACCCTGAGTAGTGTATATATATATTTTTCTTTACATTAACATTTTTTACATTACAGTTTTTACATTAAATGTTCTCTTTTATTCTAGCACTCTCTATTCTAATTCTATTTGATCTATTTGTTTTCTCTTTTTAAGACCCTTTAAGACTTGCACTCTATTTGCTTTCTAACTGCTTGTTTTCTATTAAAAAAAGACCTCTAACAATAGCTTTTTCTATTCTATCTGTCTGTTTTCTTTTGATCTATTATATAATTAACAAAAAACCCTTGCTATGTGTACTGTGTTAGGCTAACTGAGACTTGTCATAGCATTTGCTTATCATTGCTCTTTTGTTGATTACGATTGCTTCCATTGTCCTCATATGTAAGTCACTTTGGATAAAAGTGCCTGCTAAATGACTAAATGTAATGTAAATACCTTGAGTCCTCCGCAGACGAGGCAGGAGGTGAAGAGTGATTTCATCCCGGCAGGAGGAAGTGAACAGCAGCTTTTACTACAGGATAATCCCTGAGACTCCTCCCCTTTTATTAGGCCCTCCCTTGTATGTGACTCCTCCCCTTTATCAAGCTCTGAATCTGATTGGCTGGGAGATTCGGCGCAGGGCTCGTCTTGAGATGTGCTGCTGTGTCTGCTGAGCTCCAGCAGGCTGCGGGGAGAGTCGTACAGGAACCGCAGGGACGAGGGAACCTGGTATTCGTGGACGGGACAGGATGAGCAGGAGCACAGGTGTTTCTCTGGCAGGTTAAACAGCACGCCGTATTCCTCTCCCGGACCGGCAGCATCCAGACTCCCGCTGTAGGACGAGAAGCTGCCGGTCGCGATGCCGCTGTCGGACGAGTTCTGTCGGCCGGACTCTTTCAGCTTCCGTGAGCGAACGGGATTGGCCGGGACCTGGAGTTTCTCCTCCACCTGAGACGTTTCGGCAGAGTCGGGCAGAACCAGATCGCTCCACGGAGCAGGGCGACCGCTAATGCTGCAGTCTGACTGGCTCGTGTCTGAAGTGTCAGAGGAACCGGAAATGCTGCGGTCGTCGCCCGCAAGCGAAGAGCCGAAGCGCGAGCTGGAAGCTTCCAGGACAGAAGAGAAAAAAGCAATATTATTCATTCTGATTACATATTTAATGCACATAATGGAAACTGAGAAATAACTGCAATAAATTATCCTTTTTTTAACTTTTTAAATGAATACATTATTGATTTGTATCACACATATTAATATTTCCATAGACCCTTGTTAAAAAAAGTGCCTGAATGTGCACTTGTAGTGTACTTCCAATTGAATTTATTATTTTTTTTTTTTAACTGAACTTGCAGATAATAAATAAAAAATAAAATATTAAATATATATGGCATGTATGTATGAAATAAGAGTTCACTTAAGTGTCTTAACGAGTGACTGTCATGACTGTTTCTTAACACACTTAAGTACACTTTTAAAAAGTGTAAATAATGTCAAATTAAACATTTTACTTTGAAGTCCATTAGAAATCATGTTTTAACACTTAAGTGGCCTCTTATTTTTAAGTGTCATAAAGAGAGACACGTTGATGACTGTTTCTTAACACACTTAAGTACACTTTTAAAAAGTGTAAATAATGTAAAATTAAACATTTTACTTTGAAGTGCATTTGAAATCACGTTTTAACACTTAAGTGGACTCTTATTTTTTAAGTGTCTTAAATAGAGACACTTTCATGACTGTTTCTTAACACATTTAAGTACACTTTTCAAAAGTGTAAATAATGTCAAATTAAACATTTTACTTTGAAGTACATTTTAAATCATGTTTTAACACTTAAGCGGCCTCTTATTTTTTAAGTGACTTAATGAGAGACACTTTCATAACCTAACACACTTAAGTGTAAATGTCACATTTTAAATCATTGTTTTAATAATCTTTTGTCATGTTTTAAAGAAGTACACTGTTTTGATGTGTTTACTAACATACTAAAGCGCATGTAAAGTACTTGATTATCATTTTAACTGCAGTGTGTTATTCGATATTATGTTTAAAGTTACTATAATTTAAATGCAATAAATTGCAACTTAACTATTAAATATATGTAATTACAAATGTATTTAATTACATGAAATGGAAATTTCACATTAAAGTATGTTTTAGTTTATCATAAATGCTTGTCAGTACATTTCAGCAGTACTTTAACCATATTTGAAAAACAACAGAATGAATTATGAAATCACATATAAAGATGCAATTAAGTCATACTTAAGTGAGTCAAAAACACTCAGCAAAAAGTTCAGCTAATCACATTTAATATCAATTGAAACTATAGTACATTTTCATTCAATTGCATTTAACATGCAATATTACATACACCAACCAGACGGATGTATTAGTGGTGGGACAGAGACGGGTGAGCAGTTACCTGTGCTGTGAGACAGCAGACTGAGCCTCCGCTCCAGCTCCTCCACCTCATGCTTAAGTCTGTCCTGAGCTGAAGCTGCACTGATGCTGGGCTCTAAGACACAGACAGAGAAAATCAAAACCAACTGTGAGACACACAAACCAGAATATGACATGGAAACAAACAAAATGGGAATGCTAGCATTTGATCTGCAGCTGTGCAATTATCAAAAATATGGTCAAATGCCATGTTTTAGTAACCCGTGCCTGCTAACATTTGCTAAACATGAAGAAACTTTTACTTTTAGGCAAATAAAATGCCATGTGATCTGTTCATATGTCACAGACCCACATCTTGGTGCAGTCAGGCTTCAACATTCCTACGCTGCTCATGTGAAACAGTGTTGCTGTTGTTTTAGTATTACTTACAGTATATATTATTACACTGTTCATTAATAATTTGAATTAGCTTTTATTTTCATATTTTGATTATTCAATTTTAATTTTAGTTTTTTGTTACAAAGTGACCAAAATTTGTTTTTCAACCACTGAAAATAGATTTTATTCAACAGTCTGAATATGGGGCCTCATTGAGGTCCCCATATCTCTGGGACTGAACGATACAGGGCCTTGATAATAAAGATTCAAAAGAAAAGTTAATTAAGAACTAGAATCTAAAATTATATTGCGATATCTTTAATACTGCTTGAGTTATAGGCACACAAACTTTGGAAAAAGAATACTTACGGCACTCAGACAGGTATGTTCAATGCAGTTGTATTGACGGAAGGAAATGAGATATATCTCTAGTTTCAACATTATTTGTTCTTCAGACATTCCTCTTTAAAAGAAAATAATTATCATATTTTTGCAAAGTGACCCACATTTGGTTTTTGACCACTGAAAATGTGTACAATTTATCGATATTGAAATTCCATTATCTCTGGAACTGAACCATATAGGGCCTTAACAATGAAGATGCCAAAAGAGAAGTTTGTTAAGACCCAATATCTAAAAGGGCATTACGATATCTTTAATACTTTCTGAGTCGCAGGCCTGCAAACTTTGGAGAAAAAACTTGAAAAGTGCTCTTTCCCCATTTTTGAATGGTCACCATTGGCACATAATGCAATAAAGATTGCTAAATTCTACAGCTTTTGCTAATAGACCTACCATTCTCTATGTAAGAGTAACATTATGATGCTGCCATCTTTCTTAAGCCAATTTTACCCCCCTGTAATTTGGCTCTGAATCTCAGGTGAAAATTGCCATTTTGACCCCCCTCTACAAAATAGTGTTTTACTCAGTAAATATTCATCCACGACATTTAATATTTTGGCTTTCATCACTATACATGTCTATCTTTCTTAAGAATATATTAGCAAAATCAAAAATGTTGGGGACCTCTGGTTGAGTTGACACGGAATGACCCACACACACACACACACACACACACACACACACACACACACACATATATATATATATACACACACATTAAAACTGGAAATGTGCATATACATTTCAGTTGGTTGTTAAGGCAACATTTAAAATGTTTGTTTACATGTTTTTTTTTTAGTTATCCCTCTTATATTTATATTTTATATCTTATATTTATATTATGTTTCAGCCTTATTTCAATGTGGACATCTTCACACAGGAGGTGCACAGAAATCATCAAGACAGATATGACTACTGCATGATGCATCACTGGCACACGTAACTGACCTGTCACAAATGTATTTATCAGAGCTAATTAATTATGCTGAAGACAATACATATGAGGACATACATGAGATTGTAAGGAGAAATTGATTGGGATTTCAGATTCAGAACCTGTAATCATACTATATTGTAGCTGGACTAAAAAGACACCACATTCCATTTACTGTTTTCAGCTCTCTCTCTGTTTTCATTTTTATTTTTTAATAAACTTCTGAAACACTGCCATTTCCTTCTGCTCAAATTACAAAATCTCATGGTTGTGTTGTTTTATTAATATTAAAATAATTCTAAAATAAATATTGTATAATAATATTTGTCATTTATTATAATAATACTATTATATTATTTTATATTACTCTTTATTGAATCACTTTTATTTAATTAAAAAACAAATA